GTCAACAACAAATTTGGCCTGAGGTGCAAGAACTGCAAAACCAACATCCACCACCACTGCCAGTCCTACGTGGAGATGCAGCGCTGCTTCGGCAAAATCGTGAGTGTTCCCACCGGCCCTGGGCTTGCGGCACCCCCTTAAGCGGAACACCAAAGCACCTGGGCAGGGGGGGTGGCCAGCTCTGTCCCTGTGGGCATGACCCAGGTGCCATGACTCACCTCTCTTCCTGGCTCTGAGGGGGGGACCCAGGCATTATCCCCCTGCTGGGTGCTCTCCTTCTGGGTCCCCAGCATCCTCCCACTGCCCTCTCAGCTCTCACAGGAGGATCCATGGGTCTAGGTGGTGGCTGATGCTCTGACCTCCCCTTTCCTTCCAGCCCCCAGGGTTTCGCCGAGCGTACAGCTCGCCCCTCTACAGTGACCAGCAATACGCCTGCGTCAAGGAGCTGCTCTGTGAGTACCAGCCCCATACCAGGGTGCCCCATCCCCTCACGTCCTGTAGCGGAACCCCTCTCACCATCCCTGTGCCCCGCAGCGGCCAACAGGAGCGACCCTGTGTTCGAGACCCTGCGGACAGGCGTCATTATGGCCAACAAGGAGCGCAAGAAAGGGCAGGATGACAAGAAGAACGTGAGTGCGGGGCTGACCTGTTGCTCCAAATGCCCAAGGGTCCTGGCACCACAGCCTGCACCCCATTGCCACCCCCACCTCCCTGCCCGCTCTGCACCTCTGACAGCTCTCTGCCTTGCAGCCTTTGGCTGCTATGATGGATGAGGAACCAGAGGCCACAAAGCCAGAAGGGGGCAAAACCGAGGGCGGTGAGTGCTGCGACTGTGGCAGGGCTGGCTGCACGTGAGGGCCAAGGAACTGGGCGGGGGCTGAGCTCCAGCCACGAGCATGGGGCAGGGAGGGAGCCTGATGGAGAGACTGTATTTAGGGGGCCTGATGTGGTGGGTTTTGCCCTGCTCCCCCTGCTTCCCCTTGTTGACCTGAGCATGGGAGATCCTTGGGTGGAGGCTGGTCCCGGGGCAGAGAGGCAGCACCAGGAGAGATGTATCCCTCCTCCTCCCATTTCTAGGCACCTCTGAAGGGGACAAGAAGACTGAGAAGAACCCAACAGATGACAAGGTAGTCATCATCCTCACCCTACACCCCAAAGGTCCCTGGTCTTGGAGCAGCATGGGCAGAGGCTGCAGGGATCTCCCCTCTGGGCTCCCCAGGACTGTCCTTAGCCTGTCTGGAGCCCCGAACCCCTCTTTCCTCCTCCCCCAGAACAAGAAGCCACAGCCAGGGATTCGTGGTGGCTACCCGCAGTCTCACTATTTTGTGGCACTTTATCGCTTCAAAGCCCTGGAGAAAGATGACCTGGATTTCCCGTAAGTTCCCAGTCATGTAGTGGGCACAGGGGTGATGAGGGGAAGGACGTGGGGTGTCCACTGGGGAGGGAAAGAAGCCTTCACTTCAACAGTGAGGTTCCCATGGCCAGGAGGGCTCTGTGAATGAATGAATGAGGGCAGAAACTAGAGCCATGCTAGCTGTGGTTTGGGGGTTGTGGCTTTCAGGCCTGCCCCAATGGGCTACACATCGAGAGGGGGCTCTGGCGCTCGCTGAGCCAGCTCTCCCAGCTCCGAGGTTTTGGGCACAAGCCTCATTTCCAGGGCTGCTGGTGTTTTTCTTGCTGAGTATCCACTGATTTCTTGCACCCCAGACTTGAGGCTGAGCTGCTTATGTACAGGACCTGTCTGTCCCCGAACCTGCAGGCTGTGTGCATTCCATGACCTCCCCTGACACAGGGCTCCAGGAGCTGGTGCTGTGGGAAGAGCAATTCTCCTTGCCAACCTCAGTGTCTCCCATGGTGGGAGGGTCCTTGCCCACCCTCACACTGAGCCCTTCCTTCCCTTCGCAGGCCAGGGGAGAAGATCACGGTGGTCGATGACTCCAATGAGGAGTGGTGGCGGGTAAGGCTGGTGCCCTACAAGCACAGATGGGAAAGATGCAGAGCTTAAAGCAAAGGGAGAGGTCAGCTGGGATTGCAAATGGCACTGTAAGGGTGACACAGCCCCCTAAATCTGCTCTGTCCTCATGCCAACCCACAACCCACAGGCTGTTTGTCATGGGGGAATCTGGGGCTCATGCAGATTGCCTCCACCCCCCACCTTGCACCCCTCCACTGACTTCTTTCAGGGGAAGATCGGTGAAAAAATTGGTTACTTCCCTCCAAACTTCATCATCCGCGTGCGGGCAGGTGAGCGGGTGCACAAGGTGACACGTTCCTTCGTGGGCAACCGGGAGATCGGTCAGATCACGCTCAAGAAGGATCAGGTGAGATGGGGCCACGTGGTCCCAGCCCGTGGTCCTCCAGGCCCTCCTCCAGCCTCCCTCCCAGCCCCTACCCCTCACAGCTGCCCTGGCCCTGCTGTGCCCCACAGCCACTCTCTGCCCTGGCCTGCGTTACTGTCCCCACACCGCCCATCCAGCCCAGCCCCTTGGACAAGACCAGCTCTGCCCAGCCACCCCCCTGCCTGGGTGCTGCTGCCTTCCCCCTGCTCTGGGGAGCCCCAGGAGTCTCACTCGCAGCCTCTCGCCCCCAGATTGTGGTGCAGAAGGGCGAGGAGGTGAATGGTTATGTCAAAGTCTACACTGGCCGCAAAGTGGGGCTCTTCCCCGTGGACTTCCTGCAGGAGATCTGAGCGAGGGCAGCGTCCCAGGGGCCCCCAGCCGGGGGGACGGATGGACCCTGACTGCAGGCACTGGGCAGGGCAGGCACTCCCGTCCCTGAGACCTGCAGCAACGGCGTCTCTGCTGGGGACCATCTCTGCCAGGACCGGAGCAGGCTGGGGCGTGGGGGAGGTGCTCTTGGGCTATTTCCCCCGTGGGAATTTTGGTGCCTTCAGGGACACGGGGGTGCAAGGAGGGGGCAGCCCCAGACTCGCTTTGGGGTGGGTGCTGGGTGCCGCGAGGGGTCAGCGCGGCCCCGTCCCGCAGCTCCGAGCCGTGTAATCTCGTGTCTTGGCAATAGACGTCTGCTCCGCGCCGAGCGGCCCCGCTTCGAATTTCCTGGGGCGTGTGTGTGTCGCTGTGCCGGGGGGGG